TCTTTACACCCGTTCCTTCCTTCACCCTATAGGGCTTTGGCTGTGCTCAGAGGCTGGTCCCCCACCTTCCTGCCAGCTTTTGTCACTCAGGCCTCCTTTCCAAGGAGCCACGTAGTATGAAACACACCCAAAGGTTGAACAAGGCCTTCACTTTGAGCTGAGCAGGCAGGGTCCCCTTGAGCTGGGCAGGCAGGGTCCCCGCCTCAGGGAGCTCCTAACTAGAATCCCTGGTGGGACACCCAGCTGGGTATCCTAGACACGCCTCTCTCTCCATCCCCGGCTGTAAAAGGGACAATGCAAACCTGCTTCATAGGCTTGTTGCCAGGATTAAATGACTTATCCCACGTGAAAGTGTTTGCAAACTGTGAAGTGCCACGCTGTTTGCTCTGTGAAGGGCAAAGAGAAGCTGGGCCTGGCCTTATGCGCCTTCCACCAATATCACGTTTGCAATCTGACCTTCATTCCTTTCTTTCTACCCTCCTTCCTGTGAATATTCTCCTTAAAAGAACCGGGTGTTGCAAGTCTGTGCAAGCACACGTAGGGCTGTCTCCTTGGAAATGCATTCTGAGGTTCCTAGGGGCCTGGTGCCATCAGCCCTGCACCAAACTGGACAGCCCAGCTGGGCTGGCCTGAGAAAGAGCTGAATGATAAGAGGCTGGACGTCAGGGCACTTGCTGGGAGGGACAGAGGCGGGGTACAGAAGAGGGCCTGGCTGCCCTCTCTTGGAGGATTGAGCTGAATGGGCCAAGAGGGAGGATTGAGAGCAGCCCGGGCTGTCCTGAGTTTGGCCTCAGTAAGGTCCATGTGGTCACCTCCACTCCCAGCCTGGGGTAACCAGGCGAAAACCGAGAAATGGAGAAATCGTGAAGTTTGCTTTCAGGGAAGAGGAGGGGGAGGGGGCCATTCAAGTGCTGGAGGCGTCAGCTCCTTTAATCCTCACTCCCACCTTCTAAACAGTGAGGACATGTACTCAGAGGTTGGCACCCGCCGACCAGCCTCTCACCTCACTCCCACCGTAGGGGCCCAGCCACCTCCTCTACCTGTTCCCTGTCACCAATCAGAGAAACATGAGAAACTCTCACTGGGTGCCAGAATCTGACAGCAGTGTCTGGGGAATGCCCCTTCCAGATGGCTTTGTATCTTGGGGCCTGCCCCAAGGCCAGGCTGCTCAAGGAATGAATCCTGAATCTAATGGCCACTGTTCCCTGAGTGTGAGCTGGGAGTCCTGCTTATGGCTTTGCAAGGGAGGTGTGATTATCCGTTCTACAGATGAGGAGACGGAAGCTCGGAAATGAGACAACCACATAGTTGTCAGGGGTTCCATCCCAGACCCTCCTGCTTCCAGGCTCATCCCCGCCCACAGGATGCCGGGGTCTCTGAAACCCCATCTCAGGGCAGCAGCTCTTCAGTTACCCTTTGTTCTTGCATCATCCGCTCATGAAACCCCATCCCAGGGCAGCAGCTCTTCAGTTACCCTTTGTTCTTGCATCATCCGCTCATTTAGCGTTTGCTACACTCGTGGTGTGGAATGAATGAGACACACATGGCCCCGCTCGCCTGGTGGGTACATTCCATGGGGAGAGACAGACAATCATCAATCAGGGGTGAGGGCCAGCCTCTCTGAGGGAGTGACATTTAAACTGAGGCCTGGAAGGTGAGGAAGAGTCAGCTACACCCAGAACATTGAGGCTGAGGGAACAGCACCTGCAAAGGCCCTTTCTTGGGGCAAGAAAGACACATTTCTGAGCAATAAAAGGCCACTGTGACCGCAGAAGGTGAGCAAGGGGAAAGAAGGGAAGAGGAGAGGTTGAAGAGACCTAGAAGGGGGAGAGCCTGCAGGGCCTTGAAGGTCCTAAGGAGAGTGAGCCTGTCATCTCTCTGCTTGCAAGGCCTCGTCCACACCCACTCTTCTTGGGGAAGTGGCACGTGGGCAGGAATAAGTTATTCCCAGAGCATCCAAGATGGGATTATAGTAGGAGTTAACTTCCATTGAGCACTTGCTATGCACCAAGTGCTGTCCTCAGCAGTGTGCCTGAA